AGAAAAAATAAACTGGACTTCATTAAAATTAAAAACTTTTATGTATCAAAGGACATCATCAATAGAGTGTAAAGGCAGGGGCGGGGGGAATGCAGGGGGAGGAGCATAGCGAGAGGGACAAGCAGACTCTGCTGAGCACAGAGCTAGATGCAGGACTCGATCTCAGGACCCTGAAATAATGACCTAATCTGAAATAAAGAGTCAGATGTTTATTGATGTGAGCCACCCAGGTGCCCCCTGGGGGGGGGGGGAGTGAAAAGACAACCCAAAAATGGGAGAAAATATTTGCAAATCATCAATGTGATATGGGTTTAATATACAGAATATATAAAGACCTCCCACAACACAACAAAACCCCCCCCAAAACAACCCAATTAAAAAATAGGCAAAGGACTTAAACAGACATTTCTCCAAAGAAGATAAACAAATGTCCAAGAAGCACCTTAATTAAAAGATGCTCAACATCACTAGTCATTAGGGAAATGCAAACCAAAACCACAGCGAGATACCACTTCATACCAACTACAATGGCTATAATTTTAAAAATGGGAGAGAAGTGTTGGTGAACATATGGAGAAACTGAAACCCTTGAATACTGCTGCTGGAATGTAAAACAATGCAGCTACTATGGTAAAGTAAAGCAGTTCCTCAAAAAGGTAAACCATATAACCTAGCAAGAATTACCATATAACCTAACAATTCCACTCTTAGGTATATTATAACCAAAGAATAAAAAACAGGGACTCGGGGCGCCTGGGTGGCTCAGTCGTTAAGCGTCTGCCTTCGGCTCAGGTCATGATCCCAGGGTCCTGGGATCGAGCCCCGCATTGGGCTCCGTGCTCCGCGGGAGGCCTGCTTCTCCCTCTCCCACTCCTCCTGCTTGTGTTCCCTCTCTCACTGTGTCTCTCTCTGTCAAATAAATAAATGGAATCTTTAAAAAAAAACAAAAAAACAAAAAAACAAAAAACAGGGACTCAACAGCTCTTTGTACACCAAAGTTCATAGCCACTTACAATAACCAAAAAGTGGGAACAGCCCAAATGTCCATCAATAGAAGAATGGATAAATATGTGGTATATACATACAATGGAATATTATTCAGCCATAAAAAGAATGAGGTACTGATACTTGCTACCACAGGATTAACCTGAAGACATTATTGCTAACTGAAATATACTACAAACAAAAGGATAAATATTGTATTATTCCACTAACATGAAATATCTAGACTTGATAAATTCACAGAGACAAAACCTAGATTTAGAAGTTAACAGGGGTTGGGAGAGAGGACCAGCGGTACTGCTTAATGGATCCAGAGTTTCTGTTGGGAGAGATGAAAAATTCTGGAAATACATAGTGGTGATGGTTGCACACTGTGAGTGTAGCTAATGCCACCGAACTGTAGATTTAAAAATGGTTAAAATGGCAAATTTTGTATGTATTTTATCACAAGTTAAAAAATGAAACTAGAAAAAAACTTTTTATTACAGCCCTGAGTTCAAGTTTGACTGCCATTTGTAAGCTATTTGACGTTAAGCAAGTTATTTAATTTCTTCCAGCTTCAATCCATCCATAAATTAGAGATATTATCCACCTCCCAGAGTTGTTGAAGACTAAATGAGAAAACAATCACTTAGCACAACACTTGTTACATAATAAATACTGGATAAATGGTAGTTATTATTCAAAAACCACTGTTACTCATCAAGTAGGTAGTCTATAAGGCTACTATAAATGGATATCCAAAAGAATTCCATGATATTCTCAAGACATCCTGAAATAAAGAAATGAATGCCCAGCAGTCAGTTATCCTGCGTAAACCTGGAAACTTATGACCACCAAGGATTAGACCTCTTGGGGTATCACTGAACGTAATAATAAATGATACACCCAGAAAGTGAGAACCTATTTTGTACATCATTACGTTCATTAAAGAGGTAAACAAAATAAGAAAAGAAGCTAGTTGGCTCTCTTCAACTAATTTCATTTTACTGTTTTTCCCCACATATTTATTTTTAAAAATCATGAGATTTAATTCCTTAGCCAATGCCATGGACTAAAATAAAGCTTTGTCTAGAGGTCCTGAGTTCCAACCCCAGCATCACAATATCATTATAAAAAGGCAGAGAACCATAAAGAATATGCTGTCTAAAAAATGTTCTAGGAGCATGGAAACTTGGAGTGAACTGTTAAATAATCTTGGATAATGTATATAATATGCTTGTCTTGATGAAAATTAGGCATTTAAAAAATAGTCAAACTAGCTGAAACTCAAAAACAATTCTAGGCAAGGTATGCCAGAGGGAAGACACTACAAATGATTCCAAAATAACATGTAACACAAGTCTTATAATGTGAATTAAGCAATTTCCGTATTCTATGGTCTTTTGCAAAAATTTCCCAAATTCCTTCAGAGAAGTAAATCACCAGGTTAAGGAAGCTTTTCTCCTGTACTGCGATTAACCTGCATACATAAGAGACTTAGATCCAGAGGGAAAGGGAAAGTACAGTGTCTCAAATGGCCAAAAAGGTTTTTTAAAGTCGTTTCAAATCAATCTAAAATGGTGAGATTCAACATTACATTCAACAACATTGGTGAATGTAATTAAAACAGTCAGGAAAAGCATCAGAAGACTTTATTTTACTTCATGTTGATAAAAGAATTTTTCATAACCCAAACGTCCTGACTAAAACTATGAACCATTATGTTTGAAAAGCGAATGATCTATGCCAACACCCTTAGGAAAAATAGTTTTTCTCTTCTCAACAAAAACCTACTATAATAAGCAAAAACTAATGTGTTAACGCGAAACACTCACCTGAGCTAATTCCTTTAAACCACAATTAACTCTTAACTACCATGACAATAATGACAAATAAAGGCTTCCATAATTAAATTCCAGAAACAATCCTTTTATCCCACACAGCTCCTTCCTCCATCCAGTTACACGAGGCCCATACTTCCTCTTCAGGAGAAAATAAAGAGGTTTGGTAATTGGTGTTCCTTTTTTCTAAACTTTACTTTGGAAAGGTATAGCGCAGCTTAAAGTCCAGAGAACTCAGTTCTCAAGGAAACTGATACTAGGGCTATCTAACTAGACACCACTGGTAATAAATTACCAGAAGCTAAGACTTCATGCTTTTAAAAGCCCTTGCTAATAATGCCTGGCTGTCATAACTCACATTACCAAAAGGCTTACATAAATTGGTTCAAGTTCATTACCGAGACGAGAAAAATGTTTATTAAAAATTTTGAGTGCAAAAAAATTAAATTTATTTGAAACTAAACACTACCTATAGCACGGACTAATATATTTTGGTACCATTAATGATCACCTCAATTGCAGGAAGAATCACTGTGACCCCCAATTTGACCTTACCCCAGAGCTGTTTTAAAATCATGCCCTTTTGGGCGCCTGGGTGGCTCAGTCGGTTAAGCGACTGCCTTCGGCTCAGGTCCTGATCCCAGGGTCCTGGGATTGAGTCCTGCATCAGGCTCCCTGCTCTGCATGGAGCCTGCTTCTCCCTCTCCCACTCCCCCTGCTTGTGTTCCCTCTCTCGCTGTGTCTCTGTCAAATAAATAAATAAAATCTTTAAAAAATAAAAAATAAAAAAATAAAATCATGCCCTTTTTATCTCCTGCTTTGCTGTCACTGAGGATCTCACTGTTAATGTGCCAAGTAATAATGCTATGACATGAAATGCACTATTAAACAGTGTTTTCATGGACAAGTTTTTTTCAAGACACACTTCACTGAACTCTCAAAATACCTGCCCAGGATTTAATCATACAGGAAACCCACAGATTTTAATGAGGTGGCATGGCAAAATATCATGTAATTCAGGAAATTCATCAGTCAAATGTTAGGTGTACACAGTTTATAAATGGAGCTCAAGTGAGAGGGCAAGCAACTGGTCTAAAGAAAAAGTTGTAAACCCTCTCATCCCCAAACGACTTAGCTTAGGAACTTATAAATATGCCCCACATTCTGAGACATCTAACAGAAGGTTGGAACAAAACCTACACTGTCATCTTTGCTATTCCTAGCTGTTTCTTCTTTCACTAAAACATTCTGCCCTCTACACAAGCTATAGAGTGGACTCTGCCAAAGATCATTTAAGTAAAGGCAGATTATTATACCGCTATACCACAATGCCGATTGAATTAAAAAGCTCTCCCCACCAAACTATTTACAATAAATTAGAAGTGCGTTCCGTGTCAGAAAACTTTTAAAGTACTGATCCTACGGGGCTGAGTCGGACTCCTGTATTTGTACTTTTATCCTACACATTTTCCTTTACGTAAGGCCGATAGGAATTTGACTAGCCCACCCCGACAGCAAACTGGCCCAACACCCGCATGCCGTAGCAAGAAGCCACGTTTTCCTCGGGCGGACTGTTTCCCCACCCCTCCTTAAAATAATGCGTGTGGCCACTTGAGACTTCCCCAGCCAAGCTCCAGAAACTTGCAGGTTTAAATGGCCAAACTGGAACCAACCAGGGCAGCTGTCATCTGAAACTCAGGAAAGCTGAGACCAGCCAACTCTGCCGAACGAGGAAGGGTGCGGAGAGATGTGGCGGGGCCCGTCGGAGGGAATGCATTAGGCTCCCCTCCCCAACCCCCCATCAATTCGCTTTTCTGCAACCCCAGCGCCGCCATCCTGTTCCTGAATAATTAAACGGGCTGGGGAGGGAGTGAGGTGGCCAAAGAAGGCAGTTTCTAGTCCGAGTTTCCCAAGCCGAGGCGGTGGGGTCGAGAGGCCAAGGGCTACATCCCCGGCGTGCGAAGGACTTTCCTCAGGGGCCGGGAGGGCAGGGGGCGACCCCGCGGCCGGCGGGGCGGCCGGAAGCGGAGCGCGGGGAGTGACGTGGAGGAGGGGATGACAAAGGGGCGCGGGGGCCCCGGCCGCGCGGCCCGCGGGCCCGCAGGGGCCGGGACAGGTGGCGGGGCCTGGCCGGGAACAATGGGGGGCCGAGGCTGCCCCCTGGCGCTCACCTACCTCCGGTGCCCTCCGAGTTCTCGTTGAGGCTGCCCGAGGAGTCGTGCTGGGCGCCCACACACCCGCCCATGGGGGCCCCCGGCGCCTCGTCCGCCACCTCCGGGCGCTCGTCCGGCCCGCCGCCGCCTCT